GTCCTCGCGCGCTTCTCCGTCTGATCTTGAGCGCCACCGGCGCCGGAGACCCCAATAAGGACGGTCTACGATCGCCTGAAGTCGGGCGTGTCCCTCTACAGGAGGAATGTTCAACAGCAGTCAAAAAATAGTCAGGGGACGAAATTCAATGCTCGATTCTTTTTGAGCATTTGTTTTAAAGTTTCGTCATCTAAAATCCGCCTGTAGGAGGACATGCCCGACCTAACGCTTGCCCGAGTAGGCATTCGGCGGCAAGCGGGGAATGGGAGTGAGAAGGAGGAGGCCGTCTCAGAAGGCGGCGGGGCTTCTCAGCACGGAAGTGCACCAAATGCACCAACCTCATTTCAGGTTTGGCCCGAGCCAACAACACACGTGACCGCGAGCAGCATTTCGTGGTCCGTGGCCTCGGATATCTGCCACAGGAACATACACAAACCTTCCCAGGTGGATTGTTCCTGGGTCTCAGGTTGATGGCAGCGGTGCACAGATCACCGTTGAAAAGCCAACGATTTCACGCACCGCCATCCTTGAAGGCACAGGGAAAACTCGCTGGCGGTCGTCTGCGTTGGAGGCTGGGGGGTGAGATCGAAGTGGAACGGAGAGCCCCCCACCGGGAAAGCGGCTTCGGGCTTGTGTCGTGCGTGCGGGCGAGGCGAAGCTGTGTGGGCAGGCGAGAGGATTGCCTCCGCTGTGGCTGGGGCGGGTCAAGACAGCAGACCGCCTCTCCGGTGGGCGGGCGTGGCCGGGGGTGTCCCGCCGTGGTGTCCCGCCGTGGTGACCCGTCGGTGCTCCGCCGGTGTCCGCGGGCGGTGTCCGCGGGCGGTGGCCCGGCGGTGGCCCTGTCGGGGTCCCGTCGGGGTCCCGTCGCGGCCCTGTCGGTGCGCCGTCGGCGTCCCGTTTGTGTCCCGCCGTCGGTGTCTGGCCGGTGTCCCGTCGGTGTCCCGACTGGTGTCCCGTGGGTTTCCCGATTGGTGTCCCCAGTGGTGTGTTTTGATGGTGCCCCCCCGGTGGTGTTACGGTGGGGTCTCGATGGTGTCCTGGTGGTGTCCAGAGGTGCCTCGATTGGTGTGTGAATGGGGTTTGGGTGGCGTCCTGGTGTTGTAATGGTTGGCGTTTCGGTTGGTGTCCCGATGGTGCCCAGGTGGTGTTTTGATGGTGTCCGGATGTGTCTTCGTCAACATCGTCGTCTTGCAGCGTCGCCATTTCGTGAGCGCATCACCAGCATCGCCAGCATCACAATCGTCGCAGTTGTCTTCAGTTGGTTCTTTCCCCCTCCCCAACCTCCTTATCTCCCGAAGGGTGGTCGTATAACCGCGATCCCCAGAGAATAAATCATACCCCCCCCCTGAGAGTTGACTCTCCCCGGCCAAGACAGAGCTGGTGGGGGAGATGGGCGTCAAGGCCGAACTTTCTCATCGCGGGGGAAAGCTTCGAATCGAAGTTGCTGTCTTCAACTAAAACGCGTGGCTTGGCAATGGGGTTCTCACCGCCCAGCCTTCGCAGGTCGCCAACGCGTGCGAGGGCCGTGGGAGTCTCGACAGGTCAGCCCTCCCAAGTCAGGAACGCGTGGCAGGACTACGGGTCAGGAGGGGAAAAAGCACAGACACAATTAATCGTCGATTCCCCAGAAAATATGGGAAAATATGGGAAGTGGGGGGGAAGACAGAAATCCAACAAATATGGGAGAATATGGGGAATCTGTTTATTTGTGTCTATTGATTTGTGTGTCCCAGGGCCCCTTCAATGGGGTCCTCGCTTTTTCAGCCCCTCCCTAGTCGGGAACGCGTGGCGGGGCCATGGGATTCTCACCACTTCAGCTTTCCCAGGCCGCGCTGCGCCTGCTCCCTGCTCCCGGCGAGGAGCGCCGAGGATCTGAAGAGAGGAAGGAGCGCCGAGGATCTGAAGAGTGCGGGCACGCCTTAGGCCCTTCACGAGAGAGACTGCGGGAAACCTCCTCCTCGTCGTCGTCGACGTCGTCGTCGTCGCACGAAGACGACGACAACGACGACGAAGCTACGACGACGACGACCACCACCACCTCTTTCCTCGTCATACATGCTTCGTGCGACTTGCTGGGACGAACCGTTGTTTTGCATTACTCTCTCGAGACTCCGCATTCCATTATCCCCAGGGTGTTATTCTAAGGGGCATCGGGTTAGGTATGGATTTGCTTTGATGTGGCGTCTATTATTGACGCTTCGCGTATCCCCACCAGCCTTGCCAATTCGTCTCTGCGTAGCCCGCTTTGACCTGACACGCCGCCGGCGCGCTCGCCCGCGGCCGCTGACTAAAACATATCCCCACCAGCCCATCCAGAAACGATGCCCATGAGAGCTGACGGGGGGAGAGAGGAAGAGACACGGATACTCAAACAGCGAGCGAGGTCGGTTCGGATTTCGTGTTGGGGCCATGGGGCGATGAGGAGAAGGAGGAGGAGGAGGAGGAGGAAGGAGGAGACAAGAGGAGCAAGACGAGGAGAAGGAGGACGAGGATTAGGAGAACGAGGACTAAGAGAGTGAGGAGGAGGAGGAGGAGGAGGAGGAAGAGGAGGAGGATGACGGGGAGGGGGAGGGGGAGGAAGAGGAGGAGGAGGAGGAGGAGGAGGAGGAGGAGGACGACGAGGACGAGGACGAGGACGAGGGGGGGATTAAATCGACGAGGAGGAGGATGAGGAGGGGGAGAAGTTGTGTCTTGGGGCCTCTTGGAGCATCTTGGGAGCCATCTTGAGCCAGCTTGGGCTATCTTGAGCCATCTTGGAGGTCATCTTGGGCTCTCTGAGGCCGCTAGGGGGCCCCTTTGGGGCCTCTCGGGGGCATCTTGGAGCCCTCTTGGGGCCTCTTGGGGCGCTCGTGGGACCCTCTTGGGAGCCTCTTTGGAGCCCTGGAGGGCCTCTTGGCGCCATCTTGAAGGCGGTCGGTCAAAAGGCGGGGGGTCCTCGATGTGCGTCCCCCCCTCAGGGGCCACGATCCTCAATACTTGGAAATTGCTGACGCTTCGCGAATCCCCACCAGTTAGCTGCTAATTAGGCCGCTGTCGTGACCCGTAGCCCTTCTGACTCCGCTAGCGCCTTCGCTGGTGGACGCGACCGAAAAAGAATCCCCACCATCCCATCCAGAAACGATGCCCAGAGGAATTGCCTCGATCAGGGAAGTGGGCAGCACACAGAGGAAGCCATTATGAGACATCTTGGGATATCTTGAGCCATCTTGGAGGTCATCGTGGGCTACCCCAGGCGCTCTGGGAGTAGTCTCAATCAGTGCCCCCCCCAAGAGGCAAACATGTGGCTAAAACCTTCGTAAAATCAATGATTTGGCATTCTCGCCGAGGCCTCTTGGAGCATCTTGGGTGCCTCTGGGGGGTCTCGTAAGGCCTCTCGGGAGCCTCTTTGGGGCATCCTGGGGGCCTCTTGGGGCTTCCTGGCCACCTCTTGGGGCCCTCTTGGGGCACCCTTGGGAGCCTTGGGGGCCATCTTTGGGCCATCTTGGGTGAGAACGATCACAGGAGGGGGGTGTTAAATTAGCGTCCCCCCCAGGAGCGCCCCCCCCCCAGGAGGCCAAAATGGGGCCAATACTTCGTAAAACCAATGATTTTGGCGTCCTCGCCTAGGCCGTTTTGGACGTTTTGACACCTCGCGACCCCCCCCCGTCCATGTCCAGGGGAGGGGGTAGGGGGAGGGGTAAACCCCTCCCCGAAGGGGAAGAAGGAGGGGTGGAAGAGGAAACTCTCTAACGACGCCCAGAGGGCTGGTGGGATGTGCCCTCCCAGTGGCCGAAAAAGGACCCTCCGACACCTCGCGAAACCTCAAAAAAACCTCAGGGAGGGGAGGGGGATGGTTCCCCTCCCCGAATCAAGCCAGAGGTGTTGTGGAGGAAAAAAAATCACCCTCAGACCACCTGTCGCCCAAATGACTGGTGGGATAAAACAAGGTGGTGGGACCATGGCGCGCAGCTAATTAACCCAGTGCAACTGCGCTTGGGGACAGTGTGGCATACAAGGCGGACATTTGAACTCACGAGTTTATGCTTTGTCTGTTTGCTCAGGTATGCGTGAGATCGACTTCCACGATGAAAGAAAAATGCATTCGGAGCTCTGCGCGGATTTCTTGAGTCTGCGCTGCGGCCCCCCTGGCGGCACCAGTCCAGAATAATCGCGGGGAGCTCCGAAGGTTGATGGTCATGCCGTTTCTTCTCTTTCTGCACTTGGCATCGCTCGGACGTGTGCAGTTTTCCTTCGGCGAGGACCATCGAGGAGCATCTTTGATCATTTGGCGAAAAAGCACGCACGAAACCGAAAAAAACACAGGGAGAGGACGTCCGAGCGATGGCCAGTGCATGATAGAGATTTCCAGGAGCATTTGGTTGGACGTTCGAGGACGAGGTACGAACATGCATTTTAGAGTTCCCCTCGGGATGTCTTGGGTCGGCGCTGGAGCCCCAAAAGGCGCGTCCGGCGCCGCCCGTGGACAGTTGCGCGGGCCAAGGGGGGGATGTTCGGCACCGGCTTGGCATCGCTCGGACGTGTGCATTTTTCTTTCGGCGAGGACCATCGAGGAGCATCCTCGATCATTTGGCGAAAAAGCCACGCCCGAAATCAAAAAAAACACCGGAAATGGACGTCCGAGCGATGGCCAGCCGATCTTAGGAATCTGCGCGAAGCTCCGAACATTTTTCTCAAGCCGTCGTCCTTGCTCTGAGCGCGGACTTTTGTCTATCATCATCTGGCTGCGATATCGCACGCGCAGACTGGAGCTTCAGGCCGCAAGCCAATGCGCCTGGATCGGGTGGCGTGGCGAACCCGTTCGCCGGGCCAGGCCTGATATTCTGTGCAGTGGCGCTTCGGGGGGCGCTCGGTAACGTGTGCCTCGTCCGCTAGATGATTCTTGTGTCTCTGGAGGATGATGGGGAAACACGAGTCGAATGCCTCGTTGCACGGAGCTCCGCGTGGATTTCTTTGATCTGCGCTGGGCCCCCCCCTGGAGGCGCCTCTGGCGCCGCCCCTGGCGCGCTCACCGCGCCAGGGAGTGG